GCATTGGTAATATCACACGAAGTGAGGATAAATTTGATCGAAAGCCGGAAAGGTGAAACGAGCATGCGTTTCTTCTTTTATATCGACATCGAAATGCTGCCAATTTTCTAACGGCGTTCGTCGCGACACGTGCACCCGACGCTTATAGATATAGAAAATCCCACCAGTTATTGAGAAGGCAGGTACGGAAAAACGTTGGTTAAAAGCAAAAACGCGAACAGGTCGTGTACGCATGTACCGTTCACAGTTAGACGAGAGGAGTGCGTGGTAGCGCCGGCGCGATTCGACGCTGAACAAGTGTACTCCCCGGCGTGTCTCGCCGCGACCGACTCGATAGTTAGCACGCTGTTTTTCTTGTTCGTGCTCCCTATGACGACGTCGGATCCGTGGTGGCTGTCGATCGGAGTCCCGTTAAACGCCCAAGATATCTCGAGTGGCTGATCGCCTTTGGCCACCGAACACGTCACCGAGACTAGCTCGCCCCAACTGGCCGGCTCGTCCCCGAAGGCGAATGGCAATATTTGCGGGGCAACTGGAAAATACTCGACTGGAAAGACTCTGGAGAGGACGGGGCGTAGTAGGAGAAGAGAAAGAGAGAGGGCTGGTTGCGAGTGTCGATTCGCGTGGAACGCTTCCGTGTCGTCGATCCATGTCGAACAGACAGGGTTGGTATGGCGATGGTAGATGAAGATGAAATCGCTGATTTAGATCGTTCGGGGGGGGGGGGGGGGGCGAGCGGAAGGTGGCCTTGTTCACAGCGAAAGCTCACAGAATCGCATGGATGCAGTGGGGGAAAAAAAACGCGTTTGTTGAAGAGGTAAATCGTACCGTTCACCGTCAATGTCGCCGATCGACTGACCGAACCGGCGAGATTCGATGCGGAACAGGCGTACTCTCCGGCGTGTCTTGCAGAGACGCCGTCGATGCTAAGTGTGCTCAGGTGTTTGCTGATTCTCGTCACGGTGATACTAGCGTCTTTCGACGTGTCGATCGGCACGCCGTTGAACGCCCACGATATGTCCATCGGCATGTCGCCTTTCAAGATCGAGCACGGCACGGACACGGAGTCTCCCGAGTTGGCCACCTCGGCATTGAACGCGATCGGCAGAAGCTGCGGGCCAACTGAGGTCGTCGTACGATTAGAATTCGAGATCTCGTCGCGTCACGTGGATCTCTGATCTTCTTCGTTCGAATCGCAACGACAATGAGATACATGTATAGACTGTGGTCTGTGGAGGACGTGGCGTGTTCTCTCGAGAGAGCGAACGTTTCTGGTCGAAAGGGAGGATTTTCTCTGTCGTTGGGGAGAGAGGAGAGAGTTCTCGATGCCAGAGGAGATCAGAGGCGAGGAGACACAAAGGCCAGGGACTTCGCTACGGTGCTCTTTGCCAGGATTGTGCAGAAAGAAACGAACGAAACGAAAGAGCGAGAGAGAGAGAGAGAGAGAAACAAAAAAAAAAAAAGAAAAGAGAAAGTGTATTATAATATCTCTCTAGGAAAACGGATGATGATAGTCCCGAACCATTGACGGTGAGTGTGGTCGAGTGGGACGCGGTTCCAGCCGCGTTTTCAGCGGTGCAAACGTACTCCCCCGCGTGTCTCGCGGTGATGACCGAGATCATGAGCATGCTAACGCGATCCGCGACCTTCTTCGCAAGTACGCCGGAGGAACCGCCCATCTCTTCTCCGGGATAGCTCCAACGTATGTTCAAAGGCAGGTCACCGGTCGGTACGATACACTGCAGGTTTGCGAACTCTCCGGCGTTCATGGGTAGCTTCGTGAACGAGAACTGCTGTATCGTGGGCGGCACTGGGGGTGGAGGATCGATGTATGGACGTGTAATGACAGGTCGCGAGCGTATGTAACGTGATTGTGTACGGTGTCGTAGTATGTACGTCGCGTGTAAACGTCGATGGGTTGGCTGGTTTTCGTTTGCTAGCTACGGCAAATTAATTCGCGACCGTTTCTCTCTCTTTTTTTTTTTTTTTTTTTTCAACAAATGTTTTAAAATACATTTTAGTCACTTTATCTCATCTGTCACAAACAACTTTCGAGTCTCTACTTTCCAAGAGAGTTTTAAGTGAAAAAAAAAAGAAGAAACAATCTATCAGGATACAACGCTCTTTGGATGTTGCGCCAATGTGGGATTAAATACACTTGATTTGATGTTTATTCATCAATACCATGATTAATCTTGATTAACTACGCCAAATTACGTTATATGTCTTAATACATGTTTTTCACAAAAAGAATCTAAATACTAAAATACTAAAATACAAAATACAAAGTATATACCAATATACTAGAATATAAAGTACAGACTTTGTTAAAAATATCAAACATAAGACATTTGGCTGAGCGATTATATTTAATTTATATTTAATCGCGATGAATCGACATTTTGTTTACAAGTGTTACAAAGACGCAGCAAACAAAAATAACGAGAATATGCCTTCTCGCATTAAAAAGCATTATTATAACTCTAGAATTATTTATAAACGTCTGAAAATAGAGCACAGCGTCAAGTATTGACGCAAACTGAAATAAATAAATCTGAAAAATTCTATTTCATCTGTCCTGTCAGTTCCACTAGGAGGGATACTCTATTGTGTGCATTCCATTTCGAATATCGACGGAAATAAAGCGAAGAAAGATTCGAGATCGAGGTAAAATATTCGACTGATCAATCGAATTAATTTGCACGGCTAACAATTGATCAAGAAAAAGAATCGATGGCAAAAAACGACGAGGAACGATTCCACGAAGCCAACCCATTGGCTGTTGATACACGGTTGATCTCTGTGGTCGCTAGCGATTACTAGCGCGTGGTGGACGCGCGGAGAGAACAATTCTGACAAGCATACGCTAGATTTCTTACGGTCGATCGTCGGCCACCGCCATACCAACTTCCAACATTCCAACGAAAGCGCTCGTGCCTCTTTTATTATTATTTTTTTTTTTTCTTTTCTTTTCTTTCTTTTTTCGTAATCGAGACGTTTCCATTTTGACGTGCGATTAGAGTGTGTAAATCGTGAAATATTTTGCGACGAGGTCGTCGTCCGTGTGCGTGTGTCCGCGTCCGTGTCCGTATGCGACGATTCTCATCAAACATTCACGCGACTCGGCCCGGTTTTCTTTCCATTTCTCTCCCGCGGCTTTTACCGGCTGTATATATTCACTGTTCTCGCGACTCTCGACTTTTTCGGACGTCGTTTCGTAATTCAGCCTTTATCGACGCCCAAGTCGACAAGCGGCAGAGTTTCGCTGAAAGAATTGTCATTAGAGCTGCAAAGTAACGGCGAATAATCGCTATCGTTCGTCGGATCGTCCAACACCTGGATCCATTACCTGTAAAGAACGTTTTTACGCAGGATACGCGGCTCGCGGATTGCTCGACCGATTATTCAAATTGCTCGTTTTACTCGTGTACACGTACATTTAAAAAAAAAAAAAGTACTAAAAGGAGAACTTTATAATTTATAATTCAGTGGAATATTATATATTCTTCTGTTAATGACGATAAGAAAAAAGGGTTCGTAATTTTTAATCTAGGTCGTACGTGCTTGTACAAATTGACGAAATAATGTCCTGACTTAGGTGACTGTAATCATCATTATTACCAAGCTTGGACATTGTTTTCAAAATAATGTATTTCAAAAATGACGCAATGATCGAATAACATATTTCTGATTTAGCTATGTTAAATGAAACAGCTATACATTAATTTTTTTAAATCATTTTTCTCGTAACTATTTCATTATTCACTATCAAAGGAACACGTTTTATTTTGTATTTGACTAAATCTTGTCCAAATAACTTCAAGTATCTTCTAATTCTTGTTTGCGATTCTTACATTATTTATTATTATATTTAAATGATCGAATTAAATTTACTGTCGAAGTAAAAATTACTTTTCCTATAATTATATTATTTCTAAATATTACTTCCTACTATTTCCTATATATTATTTCTAAGATAACAATAAATAAATAATAACAGACTAGTCGAAAAATAAACATTTTTCTCGTAACTATTTCATTATTCACTATCAAAGGAAGTAACACGTTTTATTTTGTATTGGAATAAATCTTGTCCAAACAACTTTAACTGTTTGCGAATCTTACATTATTTATTATTATATTTAAATGATCGAATTAAATTTACTATCGAAGTAAAAATTACTTTTCCTATAATTATATTATTTCTAAATATTACTTCCTGCTATTTCCTATATATTATTTATAAGATAACAATAAATAAATAACAACAGACTAGTCGAAATAAACATTTTTCTCGTAATTATTTCATTATTCACTATCAAAGGAAATAACACGTTTTATTTTGTATTAGAATAAATCTTGTCCAAACAACTTTAACTGTTTGCGAATCTTACATTATTTATTATTATATTTAAATGATCGAATTAAATTTACTATCGAAGTAAAAATTATTTTTCCTATAATTGTATTATTTCTAAATATTACTTCCTATTTCTATATATTATATTTCTAAGATATATTATTTCTATATATTATTTCTAACAATAAATAAATAACAACAGATTAGTCGAAATAATCAATTGCTCTAAATAATTATTTTTTTATTTTATTTCGAATGAAATGTACCCAAGTCTGATTAAACTATAATCAAACTATATAATAACTATATAATATATAATCAACTATAATCAAATATAGTAATCAACTATAATCACCGAACCGATCAATTAACATTTCAACCCACGTTCATTACGACTTTCTTTCATTATTCAAGTACTACTTATCCCAAAAAAGTTACAAACCCTTTTCTTTCCGTCATATATCATTGAAAAAAAAAAAAAAAGGGTAATCGAAACGTTTACTAACGTCGTCGAATAATATGTTAAACTCTTAATTCCAGTTAAACTTCGACTATATATTCGATTGTACGCGACAAAACGAAAGTTCGCGAATGTTGACGATCGTGGAGACAAGAGAAAGTAAGGAAACTTCGAACTTACCCATGACTTGAACTTCCAACGTTCCTCTAGCGCTGTAGCCTTGAGCGTTGCGCGCCACGCAGGTGTACGTAGCCTGATCGCTCATCCTCTCGACGTTCTCGATGATAAGCGTGCCGTTCGGGAAGACTTTCTGCTTCCTGTTGATCGGCAGAACTCTGGTGTCTCGTTCCCACACGATGCTCTCGATCGGATATCCGGCAACCGGGCAGGTCACGCGAAGTGTCTCGCCGGCGACGATGGCCTTTTTGTCCATGTGGCGGATGAAGGGCAAACCATAAACGTTGAGACGCGCAGAGTGCTCCGCGGATCCAACCTGCAATCACCCGATTATTGTATTACGCCTCTTCTTCTTTTCATTTCCAGGTAAAGAAAAAAGAGAGAGAGAGAGAGAGAGACTGTCCCTTGCCTTTGAGGCAGCAATGCATTTGTAGAGACCGCCGTCGTTCGTGTGAATGCTGGAGATGTTCAAGTGTGAAACCACGTCGCCGTTCACTGTTACGTACTGCCCGACTTGAAGCCTCTCGGTGTTGGACAATCGTTTCCCATCGAGTTCCCAGGTGATCTCAGGAGTCGGATTTCCGCTGGCCACGCATTTCAAGAACATGCTCGGCCCCGGCTGCAGAGTCTCCTCGGCGAATGCCTGGCGAATCTGCGGGGGTTCGACTGTGGGTTGTAAAAACATTTGCAATCAAAACCGCCTCCCGATGAGTGTTGACTGCGTATTGTGCCACATGGCAGACGCGAACACGGTGGCCAATTATTTTTTGTCGATTACATTTGTAAGTTGTCTGTGCGTACGAAAACATAAAAAAATATATATATGTACAATACACTTGTCAAAGTTTGAACGTTTGAAGGAAACTTTGGAACTTGAAGTATCTTCACGCCAATTTATGGTAATTATATTTATTGGTAATTATAGTCGCAGTGATTCTGAAGAAACGATGTAAAAATGAAATTACATAACTAAATTACATAATGTTATTAATGTTATAATATATATTTAATATATAACATATATAATTAACAATAATGTATAATATATATATAATGTATAGTATAAATTACATAATGTTAATAATTACTGAATTACATAATAAAATAATTATGTAATATACATAATTGTGTAATACATAAAATTACATAATTACATCTATGTTGATTTTCCAGTTGATGAGAATTTTATTGTACAAAAGACTCAATTTGTTAATTTTGAAGTTGCTTTAGTACGAATTTTAGCAATAAAATTCTCATCAACTAGAAAATTAACATAGATGTAATTATGTAATTTCATGTATTACACAATTATGTATATTACATAATTATTTTACTATGTAATTTAGTAATTATTAACATTGTGTAATTCATACTATATATTATATATATTATACATTATTATTAATTATATATATTACATATTAAATATATATTATAATATTAATAATATTATGCAATACATCCGGTGTACTAAAAACTAAAATTGAATTTAATCTAAATCACTTTTTACATCTTCTCCACATCGCACAATTAATCTTCAAGTAATCGTAGACGTTTAAAATTAAAAAAAAAAAAAAAGAAACAACAACTCACATCGTCCGCCAAGTTTCAATTCAGCAGTCGCCTGGGCGCTTTCTTGGTCATTTCTAACGAAGCACTGGTACATCCCCTTGTCCTCCTTTTTCACGCTCTCGATTCTCAGTACCGGCTCTTCCAGTCCAAGTGGTTTGCCATCCTTCAGCCAGGAGACAGTCTTGATCGGGTTTCCTCTGACGTTGCAGGTGAACGTAGCCGGTCTTCCGAAGTCGATGGTCTGCGTGCTGGGTTCGATCTCGGCGGCCAACGGGGCGGTTACGGTGAGGACGGTCTCCACGCTCTCGCCACCGACCGAGTTGTTCACGATGCACAGATACTTGCCAGAATCCTCGACGCGAGCCTCGCGGATGATCAGTGTACCGCTCACCTGACGTACGCGCTCGTTCAGCTGAACTGGTTGACGACGTGACGAGCCCTCGATGAACTTGTACCATCTGAAACGACAGGATGAAAGGGGGGTTGTTTTCTTTTTTTCTTTTGTTTCTCTCTCTCTTTCTCTTTCTCTTTCTCTTTCTCTCTCTCTTTCTCTTTCTTGCGAGTCGAAACGGAAAGGCGCTTTCGTGCCGGATCGATTCTCTCGTACAAAATGAAAGAGACGAAACGAAGCGAATAGAAACGTTCTACGATTGTCGTTTCGAAGGCCGAAACGGTTCGATCACCGTGTCACTGGGAGAGAGATCGCGTGAGGTTCGCGGAGAATCGACGTGAGAGATAGCGTGTCCGCAAGTTTCCAAACACGTAGCAAATTCATCAGGAAATGAAATCGTGTAGCATGGGATAGTGTGCAATCACTTCTTGACGAAATCAATTGAATGTTAATATTCACATTAATAAATATTAATTGGACGTTGAAGGTTAATCGTAGAAAATTGTACACTACCGTGCATAAATAAATAATTGTACATTCAGTGCGATAGTTGATATTTTTGATACTACTATTAATTTTTAATAAATGACTGGTTTTAGAAAATCTGTTAGAAACATGTATTTTAATCGTGCTAGAATTTTAATGATATTCTTTAAATTATTATAAATAAATTTCTATTTAATTATAAATTATATTAAATTAAATTAAATATTATTATATTATAATTATTATTATATATAATATAATTATTATTATAATTACATTTTATAGTAATATTCTTAAATTATTATAGATGAATTATTAAAATTTATTTATAATAATTTAAGAATATTACTATAAAATATAATTATAATAATAATTATATTATAGTATATTATATTATTTAATAACTATAATATAATATTTAATTTAATTTAATAATATATATATATATATATATAATGAACAGAAATTAATAAAAAGATATATTATCAAAATTTAATTATAATAATAATTATATTATAGTATTATATATATAATAATTATAACATAATATTTTTTTTAAATAATAATTTATATATATATATAGTTTTATCCAATTTTTACTCATAGCTAAAGAGTCAAACTTGATTTACACCATCTCTATCATCATTGTGCTTTCCATCAGAATTTGCTAGGTATTCGGAAATTTATGGCTGCGTGTGCGTCTGAGAGCTGAAAAATTGGCAGATACAGAAAGAATACTCAATTCGCTCCAATTGACTCTCTACTATCTATACAATTTTAAATAATAGATGTCATCATTTGATCAATACACGTGTTTAGCATGAATTTAATAGATCACGAATTTTTATGCAGATTTTATTTTATTCGTATTCATTGAACTTTTGTAGGAAATTGTTTTACATATTCACAGAAAGCGTTATGCTTGGAACATTTTACAGATTTTTCTAAATTATGTGCAATCCTGGGCTGTAAAATTTCTTACAAATATAGAAAAATCCGCAGTCTAATAATGAGCTGTCCAAGCACTTCCAATTAGATAAATTCAAATCACTTCAAACAAGATTCTCGAAAGTCTTCAGGTTCACTCTTGGAAATCTCGAAGATCTTGGAAATCTTGAAGATCTTGGACATTTTGATAAATTCTATCGAAATCAATATGTACCCTGTAAACTATAAATGTACTTTATAGATCTTGAGTTTCATAGATTTTCTTCGACGCTGCTGTTGTTTGCAAAATACTTGTAAAATAATATATGCCAAGCTTTTAAGATCTAAGAGACGAAATGATCAAGATCTTTGGAAATTCTAAAACTTCCAAAACATTCAAGATTATGAAGGTTTTCAGAACTTTCAAAATATTTTTTTTTCAATACTTTACATAGTAATATAGTAATTCATTTAATTCTATTCAAAATGTTTGTAAAATATTAACTACAAGCCAAATTCAAATTCCATCGATTTATCAAAGTTTAGCAATTTATCGTTACGAAACTTCAAGATTATCAAAGTAATTATTGTAGAATCTTCAATTTATTGTTCTAAGACATCCGAGAGTTCTTCTTTAAAATTTCACACATGTCGATGAGGCTTGTTTGGATTAAAGCATTCAAAATGCTTGTAAAATATTGGCTATAATAATGAAACTTTCAAAATTTATCAAAATAACAAGATCTTCAATTTATTGTTGCAAAACTTCCAAAGACTTCTTCTTTAATATTTTACACATGGCAATAATATCAAAGCATTCGAAACGCTTGTAAAATATTTACTTGTAAGCCAAATTTTCAAGATATATCAAAGCAACCAGGATCTTCAATTTATTATTGTTCCAAGACTCTTTCTTCAATATTTTACACGTGTTGGATTCTAGTCAATGTTGATATATATATATATATATATCAATGATACTGTTTGAAACAAAGCATTCAAAATTCTTATAAAACATACTACGTGCCAAGCTTTCACGATTTATCTAAACTAACCAGGATCTTCAATTTATTCCTCTCTAGAAGACTTCTCAGACTTTCGAGACATTTCACACGTGTCAATAATACCATTTAGACTGAAAAATAACACTGACTAGAATCCAAGTATATACCAATGATACTGTTTTGAAGCAAAGCATTCAAAATTCTTATAAAACATACTACTTTCAAGATTTATCTAAACTAACCAGGATCTTGAATTCATTCCTCTCTGGAAGACTTCTCAGACCTCTCGAGACATTTCACACGTGTCAATGATACTGAAAAAAAAAAACACTGACTAGAATCCAAGCTTTTACTTGTTGTACCAAAACTATCGAGACTTTCAAAACGTTCGGCATCGAGCCCAATTCGAAGTGATTGAAATTCCGGCGATCCTGAGAAATGGTCGAGCCATTTATTAATTGCCCGTCGCGTGCGAATCACGCGAGATGTTTCTATTCGCTTCGTTTCCGCGCCTACTCTTATTTTCCATATTCCGTGTACACAGGCAGGGCTTTGGGCGTCTCTGGGCTTCTGTCTCTACTGCCGGCTCATTAGCGCGTGTCTCGCTGCGGCACGAGTGCGCGAACTTAATGAAAAAGAGAGCTTCAACAGCAGCCGGGGCGTAAAATAGCGGTCGTGAGGCAGAGCAGGTCGGGAAAACGGCGGAGAGGGAGGGAACGAAGGCTGGCATACAGCTGACATAACTTCGTTACAGCCGACGAAAGAAAAAAAAAAAGAAAGAAAAAAAGGAAGAAAAAAAAAAAGAAAAGTGCGCAAGAGAAGCAGCAGAGCGGTTCTCGTAATCCGTAAACGCATGGTACGCATGGTACATGTACAGACGCCTGAAAGATCCTCGGTGAGTATTGAGTTGCGTATCGTCGAGTTGCACACACACACACACACCTAAAGGGAGAAAGTGAGAAGGCGATCATGGTCGGCGAGAACGTTTAACTGGGACGCCACGCAGCTGCTGCCGCCCCGTCGTCAGCGAGAATCTCCATCTACGCCGCGTGCTGACCGACTGACGTGTTTTCCGTCGTTCTGGCGAATTCACCGGGAAAGAAACGAACGACCCCGCGGAAAACTAAGAAAAACGGGGAGGAAAGAAACAAATGCGCCTTCAACAGAAACTGTCAGGAGGAGGAGGAGGAGGAGGAGAAGAAGAAAAAGAAACGAGGGGAGCAAAAAACGAAATGGAAAGAAGCTTGCGAAAGTCGAAGTTGCCAACGAGATCCCGTGAACACAACGTGGGAGTTGGAACGTTTTTGGAGGATGAACGAGAGAGAAGTCTCGGGCGGTGTGACAGTTTTCTGTGCAAGTAACGAGTAAATAAATAAATCCTGGCAAGTGAGAGAAAGAGAAGGTATGTGTGTGTATATATATATGTGTGCGTGTGTGTATGTATGGGTCGAGGAGCAGGGAGCAGTGAAATACACGAACGGATGATGAACGGAAGCACGAAGGTGGCGAGGACTTACCAGCCAGATATCGTGGGACTTATTGGAGGTGTGCAGGTGCAGGGCAACATTGTTCGCCCCATTGATCGGGTGACACCCTCTCGGACCCACCCGGATCAGCACCGAGGTTACCGAAGGAGAAGAGGGCCCGCATCCTTTTCTCAGAGTCGCGCTTCCGTCACCTATCTCGTGGGGGTTGCGCCACCGGGGCTGAAAACCAACACGTCCGATTGGCCCCGGATATTGGGATACACAATTTTTCGTTTCTCTCTCTCTCTCTCTCTCTCTCTCTCTCTTTCTTTCTTTCTTTCTTTCTTTTGCTTCGTTCTCGTTTTTTTTTTTTTTTTATTTTCTTTCTTTCCTTTTTCGTTACTTTCTCAAATTTTGCTCGCTATATTCGTCTTCTCTCTCCCGAGTTCACGTGTATTCGACGTGTGAGAAACGCATGGGACGCGTTCTCAAGTTGAACGAGACGAGTTATTGCGGCGGAAGGAGGACGACGAAAAAACAGCCCTATACATATCTCGTCCTTCTTCTCTACTCGAATCATCATCATCGTATCGTAATTCAACGAGAGCGGCGTTGGAATCATGGATCATCGCGTGCGTACTTTTGCCCACTCACTTTTTCCCTTGACTCTCTCTTTCTTTTTTTCTCTCTCTCTCTCGTTCGTTTCTTTCTTTCCTTGCCTCGCGGCAATTTTGTACTCGCCTTTCTTACTTTGTCTCGTCTCTCTCTCTCGTCTGTCGAATCACATCCGATTTCTCGGTTTCTTTTTTTTTTTTTTTTTTTTTTTTTTCGCAGCGGTACCGCCACCCGACACGGGGTAGAGGGTAAGGATGGAACGCTTCGAAAACAGGATCCGTGCTCTGCGGAGCAAGAGCAGAAAAACGACGAAAGAAAAGGAAAAAAAAAAAAGAGAAGCTATACGGAATATTGAGTGTGTACCTAGAGATCGGGGCAGGAAAGCCTTGTGCCGCACACGCCAGCGCCAGAGACTCGCCCTCTACCCCGCGGTACTTATTAAGGCCGTCTCCAGTCCCTTTTGGGGCAGTACGGCCGGACGGTTCTGGAAGGATACACGTTTCATTGCCCAGATATTGTATGTACGACTAAACTCGTCCCCGTTCGTTTCGTTCTCCCCTCAGCGCACG